TACCACAAATGGCGCGGTAAACGCCATCTGTAGTACGATGCTACATTTTAGGATTACGTATGCTCCAACAAGGTCCACTTGTATGGATATCTACTTGCTGAAAACGAATACCCAACCTCAACGTGATAGGCACGTTGTCTGCGACGCGCTGATGAGATCCAAAAAGATCGAAACTTTAAATAAAATACAAAATGCTTTTCTCAAAAAAGTATTTAAATGCAAAATAAAAATAGGTATTTTTTATTTTGCATTTTAAATGCAAGTTTTTCAAAAAATTACATCTCTGGTAGTTGCAAATAAAATAAATATGCCTAAGCATTGAATAGTAGACAATAAAGGGTTAATTTAAATCGAGAAAACATTAAAAATGTACAATGTTTTTCCTAACGACACACAAGCAAAGATAGATTTATAGTAAAAATGTTTGTCCCCCGTTTGCATGTATGATGTCCCTTTATATAAAGTTTATTATAACTCCAAAATGATTTTAGTCTCTTGAGCCAAGGATTTACATATATTTTGTGTGAATTAAAATTCGATACCTAAGTACGATATACCTTTAGAAGTTATGAGTCTCTGACAACAAAAAAGGGTGTATTACGGTCCAGGAAGTTTAAATGTATTCATGGGAGGCAAAGCCCCTTGAAATTGAAAAACAAAACCTTCCAACGAAAAAATTTAAAATCGATTATGAATTTAATTCCATACTCGATGGATTTCGTTCTCCAATTCCGTGATGACTACATGCTATAAAAGTTAAATTATCTTCAATTATGTTTTCACTTGCGGTTGCTCTCCCGACGGCGGTGAGATATAAAATTGCCAGTTGTATTGTTTGTAATTTGGTACCGACAAATTGTAGGGTCGAATTTTCAATATTGTAATAAAAAACGTTTACTATCTACATACAAATATTTTGATCCATAATCAACTTTTGCTAAATTGGAATAACACCAATAAATATTTTGGTCATCCGTATTATTTTCTTGAATGCACTTTTGAATAGACATATATATAATATACGGAGTAAGAGATAAAACAAAATATAAAAATATCTCTAAAATAAAAACCATAAGGTCATTGGTGAGTTGTCCGTCCGAAGATTGGTTATTAATTATCATTAATGTAGGATTACAATATGCAAGGGAAGGAAGTAGGGAAAGAGCGAATATAAAGTTTGGAGACGATAAATTAGAAGAAGTGGCTGATTGCTAGGAAGTCAGATAAGTCAGGAGTAGTAGGGATATAAACCAGAAGATAGAAGGGTCGAGTCGCCTTCAATAAAAAGAAGTCACTTCTATGTTCGCGAACGATTAATTTAGAAATTCGAAAAACGTTGTTAAAGGTGTATGTTTTGGGCACGGCGATGTACGGGTGCGAAACATGGACAGTATCCGCGGCGGAAAAGAAAAGGTTAGAAATGTTCGAAATGTGGCGTTACAGGCGAATGATGAGGATACCGTGGATTGAGAAGGTTAGAAATGAAGAGGTATTAGAAAGGGTAAGAGAACAGAGGACTCTATGGAAGTCAACAAGAAATAGGCGAGATAGGTTAGTAGGACACCCTCTCAGACATGAAGGTCTAGTCAGAGACATATTAGAGGCAGATACGGAAGTTAGGAGGGGTAGAGGTAGACCTAGATTAAATTACTGTTCGCAAATGGTTAAGGATATGAGTTGCTCTGGCTAGGATAGTTAGATAGGAAAGAGTGAATGTACGTGTCCAACCAGTCTTTGTACTGACGACCTTATGATGATGATGATACAATATTTAATAGTTTCATTAAGTTGATTTTTGGATAAACACATTTCCAGAAGGTTTTTTTTTAAGGTCACATATCCAAATTGCCAGTCTTTTGTCTCACCTCGCATCTTTCGTTTAAATATACCTACTAAGAATCAATTTGGTCCATAGAAATAACTTGAAAACACAATAGCAGAGCTGGATACTACTTTTGGAGAAAATAATTTGTAGATCTTCATCCCATTTGGTAAAAAGGGTATCTACTCAAATTTTTTAAACACATAGCAGTGGCGTTTAATTTAATCAACCTTTAATTATAAATATAAACAATTGTAAACAATAATAAATAGAATATAAATTCTTTTTTTCCAGTCTAAGTGGACGTCCGCAACACAGTATTCTGACAGTTAGTCTCAACATGCGCCAAAATGGTAGTTTACCGAGCCCGTCAACTCAATCACCACCTCGACCTCATAACAATGGTGATACCTTCACTTTGTCCAACGACATTCTGGATTCCTTCGACAAACATGGTTGGCAGACCTCCACCGATTCGGTTGGTGAAACGTCTACCAAAAAACCCAACACTGCCCACTGGCAGTTCACCACAGAACCAGATTTCGTTACCAAAACGAAAACGAAAGGGAAACCCACCAAGAAACCGTGGCACGCCACCACCCATAAAAACACAATCAAATTCCAAACCAAAACCCCAAAACCAACAGTTCTTTACAATAATAGGCAAGTAAATATGATGTATTTTAGAAACTTTTATTTTTTTATCATTAGAAGGTCATCAGTCCTAAGACTGGTTGGACATGCACCTCCACTCTTTCTTATCCTGAGCCAATGTTCCCATTTCCTTAACACTGGAACAACTGATATCCTTAACTATTTGCGAAGAGTAATCTAATCTAGCTCTACCCCTCCTAACTCCTGTTTCTGCCTCTAATATGTCTCTGACTAGACCTCCATGCCTGAGAAGGTGTCCTATCAACCTATCTCGCCTATTTTTTATTGACTTCCACAGAGTCCTTTGTTCTCTTATTCTTTCTAATACCTTTTCATTTCTAACCTCATCATAACGATATCCTCATGATTTGCCTGTAATACCACATTTCGAATTTCTAAATTAACCATTCGCGAGCATAGAAGTGACTTCTTTTTATTGAAGGCGACTCCACCCTGCTCTATCCTCTGCTTTATATCCTTACTACTCCTTCCGTCCTGGCTTATCTGACTTCCTAATTACCTAAAATCAACCACTTCTTTCGTCTCCTATCTTTACATTTTTTTTTCCTACTTTTCCTGTACATTTTTTCTACAAATATAAAAAAAAAACTTAATTAAACATTATATAAGAATTCTTTTTTCAGGGTGAAACCTACTACCACCCCTTCACCACCAGTGGAACTGACAACGTCTGAATCCTCGTCAGTTGCAGTGTTACCAACATCCACTTTTAGTTCAGCTTCAGCAGTCGTGTCCGATGCAATGAGTATAAATGTGTGTTCGATTTTGTGATAGGTTTACTCAATAAATTAATTTGTATTTCAGAGTGCGGGATGCCAATGATGCAAATTCATCCACAGACACGAATCGTCGGTGGAAGAAACGCTCCATTCGGTCGATGGCCATGGCAAGTAAGTGATGATTTTTAGTTACTAAATTTATTCAGCTTTTATTAAAGTACATCCAACATTCGAACATTTTTTTTGTGAATGTCACTGTTTCAGTGCAATTAGTCCAAGTTAGTGATAAGCAAACTCAAGACCAAAACAAGACTATTATAATCTTGTTCTTGCGAGACTAATATAGTCTTGGTCCAACACATTAGGTATTGGTGTTGGTCTTGGTTTAAGTCTTGTTCGTGTGAGACTAAAATATGTAGTCTTGGTCTTGGTCTAAGTCTGTGAATTTATCATTCATCGCGAAAATTTGACTTCTTTGTTGAAAATATTCGCAAAATGAACATAAAAATGTTTTCTTTTTTACTTTTAATCTATTTAGCTAATTTCGGAGCACCCTGTACATCTCACAATTTTAGTTTTTTGTCTTTAGATCAGCATTTCAACTGTTGCAATAAAAGGTAGGATTTGTAAAACGAATAGAATTTATTGATAGTTGAGGTGAGAATTTTATGAGAGTCTTGCTAATAAGTCTTCCTCTTGGTCTTGGTTTTGGTATCGTTCATTTAGCCTTGATCTTGGTTGTGACCAAAATAAGACAAGACAAGACAACGCTACAAGACCAAGATTATTTTTGCTTATCACTAGTCCAAATCACTAAAACATGCTCCTTTTTATAAATTTATCACAAAAAAGAGCGTTGATACCTTTTGGATTGACTCATATAAACTACATTGATGACGTAAACGTAACCTCTCAATAATTATACATTATACACGTAAAGGTATACGATTTCCAGGTGTCGGTACGAAGAACGTCTTTCTTTGGGTTCTCCAGCACTCATCGATGCGGAGGGGCAGTTTTAAACGAAAACTGGATTGCCACCGCAGGTCATTGTGTAGATGAGTAAGAATTATAATTTTCACGCTTTTTTTTATCTAAAGAATTAAAATATGACTAAGTGAAATCAGTTTTGATTCACGTGAGTCTGTTTCTTCGCCTCATTAAGTAATGTCTGATTTAGGAGCTCCTGAAATCTGAAGACATTCCAAGTTAATTTACCTTTTAGCATCGAAATGAAACTTTAAGTAGAAGATAGGAAGACATTTTTATAACTCTCCCTTTTAATCTAATATAGACTTTTAATTCGGATAATTTTATTCACGTTTGCCTTTCTCAAAGTTGTACTTTCGCAGAAGTAGGACTGCAACATCTGCAGTTAATTCTTTGAAACTTTATATTAAGCCAATTGCAATAAATAAAACGACTTGGAACTTTCAGAAGACGAAGGGCGAACTTAAAAGCTTCTACAGTTCTTTAAAATTATCCAGAACTGCGTCAATGAAATGAATGGTAACTTAGTTCATAATTTCACTCGGTAGGTACTAAAGAATAGAAAACTTTTAGTCGGAAAGCTTTGGAAGTGCTCATAAATAATATGTCCGCAATGGTAGAATGCTTTAAGGTTTGTTTTGCAATTATGAAAACAAAAATATTTGAATATGCCTTAATTCCATATATTTTTCCAAAATTATAATAACGTTGTTTATCGTAAGTAGCGAGCCGATGTCGTTCGGTCACACATGATGTCATTATGAGAGGCGTACTTAGGACGTTAAGCTAATATTGTTTGTGGAAACCAAGGTGTAAACACATAAGAAAAGAGAAAATCAATGTCAAAGCCTAAACTGGTGTTTATATCAAGGATGATTCATATTGAATGAAATAATTCGAAATGGTCCGTATTCTGTCGAAACTGCCACACGCGCATCGCGACTTAAATCTTTTGGGATCTCATCAGCGCGGCGCAGACAGCTCCGACAGAACATAGACCAAGTTTTACCTGCTGTCTTAACAGCGCGTTTTAGAAAATATCACAAATGGCGCGGTAAACGCCATCTGTAGTACGGTTACCGCGTCTGGCAGTTTCGACTGAATACAGACCACTTCGAATTATTTTATTCGATTATGGTAACGTGCCTATCACGTTGAGGTTAGCTACGCTGGGATTCGTTTCAGCAAGTAGATATCCACACAAGTGGACCTTGTTGGAGCATACGTAATCCTAAATTGTAGCATCGTACTACAGATGGCGTTTACCGCGCCATTTGTGGTATTTTCTAGATTCGTATTGAGTTTATTAGTTTCCAAAATACTTCGCAGTATTGCAATACTGGATTAAAATTAAATAGCCAGTAACTGCTGTAAATGCTAGATGTTAGGCTGTGCCGTTCGTAACTAAAAATTAATTTAAATGTGTATATTCAACGTCCTGAGAGGCCACTGGAACATAATTTTTAACAAATGACACATTGTAGGTTAGATTTTGTAAAGTCTCCTTTCTTATCATCTATCAGATAGGTCTACGATATTGAATGCTTTTGGGTATTTCATTCCCGCTAACTATTGTCCGGCAATTCACACTGTGGTGCAGAGCAGGAGGGTTGGGCAGAAGGCTCGATTTAGCTTCCTAACAGAGATCGTGGAAACGGATGAACGGTGGTTGTGGAGAGATAGATGATACTGACGAAATGAAGACAAAACAGAAGTGAAAAATTACCTGTGGAATATTATTACTGTCAATTTGATCCAAGAAATGTAATAGCGTAGGCCTTTACGGCCGGAATCGAATGAATAAAGAGGAAGATCCGAGCTGATAGGTCGTGGCCGAAAAGAATTTGTAGATTAAAACTACATTAAAACTGTCATCTTCAGTGGGCAGCTTGATTCTTAGGTCGAAGGTTATACCTCCTGAAGTTGCAGTCCAAACGTTTGGATATATAAATTCTTTTCGGCCACGGCCCATCAGCCTGGATTTACCTTTTTGATTCAAGGAAATTCCAGAAAATGTTGGATCAAGTCAGACGGATCTCTGGATTACGCTGCTCGGTTTATATGACATACAGTTATTAAAATATGGGTACATATTCATGAGCAAAAGATATATATTTAACTATTGAGGTGTCCGGCATAAGTACGCATCTGATAGGTGTGAATCACATTAGCTCCTTGACTGAAGAGAAGTGTCCAAATTTTTCTGGATGTTTTTTTTCGGTTTTTTACGAAAATTTCGTTTTGACGTATTAAAATGCCTACATGGATTTAAAGATTTTAAAAGGTCCCTCTCAAGAATTTTAAAAATCCTAAAAATGTAAAAGATCCAACTCCATTTTCTTTGATTCCTGTTTTTAGTGGAGTCTTTCTCTTTAATATTAGGTTTGATGGATAGTGTCCAAATTTTGCAAATTAAAAATTGAAGAGAGTCTGTCATGCTGTCATTTTGAATGCACTAAAAAGGGACGTGATCGAAAATAAAGTTTTAAAGAACACAATTGTTTAATCTTACATTCTTAAGCAACAAGTAAATTTTAAAGTAAAAAAGAAAAAGTAGCAGGATATGTGGGCCACCCTGATAATAGCTTTCGTTTTCTCAGCCTTTTGACATCACAAATCAGGATAAGGGTGGGAGAGTATGACTTCTCAAACGTTCATGAAGAACTTCCTTACGTAGAAAGAGGGGTCGCTAAAAAAGTCGTTCACCCCAAATACAACTTCTTCACTTACGAGTACGATTTAGCTTTGGTAAAGTTGGACAAAGCTCTAGAGTTCGCGCCGCATATATCTCCGATATGTCTACCTGCCTCTGATGACCTCCTAATTGGCGAGAACGCTACCGTTACAGGATGGGGACGACTCAGCGAGGGTGGCACATTACCTTCGATTTTACAAGAGGTTGGTAATTTCTATTTAAATAATTACACAATAGTTACAAGCGATACTTGCAGAAACCTCATAATCAATTTAAAATAAACACCAAATTTTGGTAATTAAACAATCATCATCATTATAAGGTCTCCACTCTTTTCTATCCTGAGCTAATCTTCGCATTTCCCCAAAACGAGAACAACCCACATCATTAACTATTTACAAACAGTAATCTAATCTAGATCTACCTCTACCTAAGAACCTATCTCGTCTATTTCTTATTAACTTCCATAGAGTTTGTTCTCTTATTCTTTCTAATACCTTTTCATTTCCTACCTTCTCTATCCACAGTATCCTCATCATTAGCCTGTAACACTACATTTCGAACTCTTGTAACCTTTTCTTTCCGCCTCGCCTACCATCCATGTTTCGCACCTGTACACTGCCGCAGTCCAAACATACACCTTTAACAATCTTTTTCGAGTTTCTAAATTAACCGTTCGCGAGTATATAAGTGACTTTTTTTTATTGAAGACGACTCCACCCTGCGCTATCCTGTGCTTTATATCCCTACTACTCCTTCCCTCTTGACTTATCTCAGTTCCTAGATACCTAAAATCAGCCTCTTCTTCTAATTTTTCGTCTCGTATCTTTATATTCGCTCTTTCCCTACTTTATCTTCTGTTGCATACAAGTATTTTCGTTTTACTTAATCAATACTATTAATTTATTTTATTTATTCAATTAAACTAAATTTTTAAGGTACAGTTGACTTAAAATTTAGAAATTATCATTAAATGAATGTTTTTCTCTTAAAATCAAATGTTGGGCATACGTGAGTCTTCTTTTCCTATAGTAGGGGTTCGTTTATGTTCAAGGGGTTTTCTGTTGAAGAATCCTCCAGTTTGTCCCACATACACTTGCTTGTAGTCGCCTCACCAGCAAACAAACTACTTCCATTTAAATGTATTATTATTAATAAAGGAATTTACTCTTCTTTCCTTTTTATCTTCATTATTTTTATCAGTTTCATTAGTTTTAGTTTTTTGTGTTGTTTTTCAGGTGAATGTGCCGATAGTAAGTAACGAGTGCTGTAGGAATATGTTTCTAAAGGCTGGTCGACACGAGCATATCCCGGAGATATTTTTGTGTGCGGGACATGAGAGTGGAGGTCAAGATTCTTGCCAGGGAGATTCCGGAGGTCCGCTGCAGGTCCGAGGTAAGAACGGTCGCTTTTTCTTGGCCGGAATCATTTCCTGGGGCATCGGATGTGCAGAACAGAATTTGCCCGGTGTTTGTACCAGGATATCAAAGTTTGTACCCTGGATATTGAAAACTGTTACGTAAAATGACTAATTAGTGACGAAAACTGAACAGTGGCGTAACAAAATTATGCAAAATGAAGACATTTTTGTGGAATTGAAGGAGATAGTTTACCAAAAAGGAAAATATAAGTATCAAATCAATAAAAATATAACGAAAACTGCATTTTTATCATGATGGCAACGGCCTGGACTAAGGTAAGGTAATTCAAAAATCAATAAGAAGTAACATTTATTAAAATAATAATTACTAGTAACAGTACTTTTCATTATAAAATGTAATAAACCAAAAGTATTGTTTTCACAATCTGTATCCATAGTCATATCATAGAAAAGACATTTTTACGAACTTATTTTAATGCAATGTGTAAAAAACAGGAAAGCTAAATACTTATTGAAATACCTCCTATAAATAATTACTATTGCTATTAATAATCCCATGTTTTTTTTTATAACATTGAAGTGTCATTACAATATGTACCTATTTTTGTACTTTTTGGCCACACTGTATATTTGGTGTTAGTTAGCAGCAACTGCCTCTAGATGGCGTCATGGTACCTGTTTTATGACATTCAAAAACTACAATTGTTCACAAGAAAAGTAAAATAATTACAAACTTATTCTTAGATTTTATTTAGTTATAAATAGCAGCTACCATCGCGATAGTTTCAACTGCTTCATTTTAAATTAAACAATGAAGGAAACAATAGGGCATTAATCTTGGTTATAGTTTTTGCACACTGTAAAGAAACATTTAAATATTTTTTTTGAGGAAGTTTCAATTTCTCAGGTTTCAAAAACCAAGAGCTCTTTATCAAAGTTGTCACTTTCAAAATTTAATTTCTTGCTTAATTTGGCGCCCGGAAACATTAATAACAAGGCAATGTCAGATCCACGCCATTTTCCACTCATTTTTCATTTCAAAATAAGTGAGTTTCAGTAGCAAAACGTTTTGTACACGTAAGGGGTTTCTTCTATATCTTTTTTTTTCCTTAAGGACCAATAACCGCAAATTGTAGACTCATGGAAGCAATGTTTAAAATTCATTTGTCCCCCAGAGTCAACTTTTTGCTGTTTCTAATGGAATTCCTTTATCTCCTACATTGCTACATCTTTATTTCTTAGGAAATGTACTCTAACCTAACAATTTTCACATTTACTAATGATTTTGAAATCAGTTTCAGTTTGAAATTAATTTTGTTTTAAATTAAAAGTTGATGCTATAACTTTTTTGATGGTGCCGTAAGGAGAAAAATCAATCGCATATTTGAATAGTTACCTACGGATTAAAGTATACCTATCTAGCCATTACTAAAAGAGAATAAAAAACTTCAAAATTCAATTTATGGTCTTCGATCTTTTGATTAAAAGTCTATCCGTTTGTCCAGTGTATACCTATCTTGTCGTTGTCTCCACAATTTCAATGATAGTTTTCGGATTTTAACCCTTTCACAATTTTTTTGAAAGTTACGTTTGAAAAACTAGAACAGCTTTTGGTACTTTTACGATAAGTAAGGTAAATACCTACAAATATTATTTTTTATCATGTTAGCGTGGAAAGCTCGTTTTGCCTGCTATGAAATGGGGAAGAAATGGCCTCTTTTCAGCAGTGTTTTAGTCGGGAGGCAATGAAATTAGTCTTTTGAGCGCATGCGCTGAAGTTTATGGGCATGCGCAGAAACCAGTTGTTCAATGACAATGTCTTTCTAACCTCTAAATCATTTACTCTTATTTCGCCAACTATCAATTTAATAACGAGCTTTCCGCACAAACATGACAAAAAATAGTATACGTACCTCGGGAAGAAACAGGGTTGTGTCATACTGCATGTTTGCAATTCACATGCAGTCTGAAATAATCCTGTTTCTTCCCTCGATACGTAATGTACTATATTACAATCGCACACCCTGACGAGCAAGTATTCTAATTCTTTAATTAATTATCTATGGATTTGCCTGTAGGATCTTCTGGAGAAATGATTATTAAAAATTTGTAACCGCTTCTATTTTCCTGTAAAATTTCTGGTATTTTAAAGTTTAGTTGACGGATTATACTTAAGTTGTTTCAAAGTAAATATGAGAATCTGCCTCTTTCTCTTTGTGATCAGAAATTTATGGAATCTTCCCGGTATCTAGTCAAAGTAAACGTTACGCGTGCTTTCGTGATAAATTTGATAAACTAATTTTATATTATGTGGGAGGTAGTTTTCAAATTCGGCTCTTATAATGGCACTTTGTGAAGCGTTATCGTCTTTCTCCGGTACGCATTTCAATTCTACGCGTCTTGCTTTCGTCGACGCGATGGCGGCGGAAAATTAATGATTCCTTTGAATAAATTTTCCGACAATGAGCTTAAAACGTCATGTTTTTCATCTTCGAACTTGATAACCTACACACATATATATGTATACGCATTTGCCTGTTTCCGTCGTGAATGAAAACGCTTTGAAACAATTCCATATATAGCAAAATGGTACAAAGGCTTCCGGGTTTGTGCACTTTTTGTTACATTCTCTCTTTGTACTTGTCCATAGTTTTAATTAAAAGACAGAGCGGGTTTTTGTTTTTATTTGAAAAGCATCGTTCCATTTTGCTGTAAGTAATACTTGTAGAGGATGGTGCGGTAAAATATATCTTGAAAGAGTTGAGAAGCCTATGTCTTTCTCAACCTGGTAAAGCCGTGTCAGAAGAAGAGGTCCATAATAAATGCAATTAAGGGACGGAATCCGATCTTTGTCTCTTTAATTGTCAATACGCCGGACACACGAATAAATCTACACAAATATCTAACAGGAATGAAGGACGGTGCTTATGACACATAGATTTAGGTTTGCAATAATTTGGTTCGTTTTTGATCTAATCAATTTTTAGTCAAACAAAACTATAGGGTAGAATCAAAAAGTAGTAGGACTGAATTTCTGTAGCGCGAACGGAGCAGTGGAGGGGAGTCGAACCACCTGGGTATGGTAGTAAGGAGCCTTCCGAGGTGACCGCTATTTTCTCCAGTCGCCCGCAGGTAAGCAGAAGCAAGAGCGACAATTTCTGTGAACTTTTGGTAAGAAGTGTGGTGGCGATCCAAAATGGAGAAAAATTTTACCAAATTCCACGTCAAACTCGGGAAACCCGGGCGGAAATCCTCAAAATGATTAAGGAGCCAGCGGGGATTATGTCATGAGCCACTCAACTGTGTTCGAGTGGCTCCGCACTGCCGATGAGGAAGTTTTTGGTCAAGCACAGGTTTATCTCCCCCCTTAAGTCCAGATTTGACACCGCAGCACTTTTTGCTGTTTCCTGGGCTCAAGAAAAACGGATACAGATCCGTAGAACACGTCCAGGGGGCTGTGACGTAGAGATCCCGGAAAGCGAGTTCCGAAACGCGTAAGCGTTATGTCGAAACACAAGGGTGCTATTTTAAGGACTACTAAGAACTTGTGCCGAATATTTCAACAAAAAGATTTAAATCAATTGTGTCCTACTACTTTTTGGTCTTACCCTATATGTATCTACTTGGTATACACTGATTAAAGGTCCATGGTACGTCATGTATACCTACATGACACGTACAGTGGAACCTGGTTAGAACAGCATTGGTTATAACGACAACTATTCAAACCAAAAGTGAAACACTGGATAATAACGACAACAAATCTGGTTATAACGTCAACTTTTTATTTTATAAATCCTTAAAACGGTCCTAATATTACCGGTACCTGAGGATACTTCGGTCTGCAAAAGCTGCCACCCCATTTGTTTATTTATAACTCATGGGAAACTATAGTTTACCATTTGGACCACATCGTTACTGCAAAATGCGTTCCGAAATTGTTCAGTTTATTCTAACCTAACGTAACCTTACGTTACGTTATTGCCGGTCCTTAGATTAACGCTATAACCAACTTTTACAATAGTGGCATACAGCATCCTTTCGTAATCTAAACTTATCATTTTTTAAGATCAAAATAAAATTCAAAACTTGTTAGGTAATTGTTAGATATCTGAACATCAAATTTTGCAATTCTGATGATTAGATTGGTTTCTAAATAGGTAACCCCCCCCTCCTGTAATATGATCGTTACTATATATTTATTTCAAAAGTAACTAGCGTTCCGAACATTAAATCAATAATCGCATTTCTCAAAAATTAGACTATCAATCGTCTAATTTAGGTTTTCTTATGCCTCTGTTTAGTCCTGTTTTTGCTTCTAACATGTCTCTGACTTGCCCTTTGTTACTCGCAAGATGTCCTCTTCATTTCTAACCTTTTCTATCCATAGTATTTTCATCAGTGTGGATAAAAAGATTTTCGTTAAGAACTTATTGTATTTAAACGCTGGTGTTGCTGTGAAACTTCAAGGTTCTAAATCTTTTTTGTGCATTTTTCATTAAAATTGTAATATGCGAACATAATCACCTCACTTACATAAATTTAATTAATTAATGCATGATAATTTGAACTACGAAAAAGAAATTATTGTTTGATATAACAAATTCTAAGTATTTGGCTTTCCTTTTAAATTTTATACATAACGAAAAGAAGTAACAATAAATTAAAAAATAAGTTTTGTTTATATAAATACGTTGTTAAGCTCATTAAGAAAGTTCCTGCGCCACATTGTAGATTTTATAAATATAAATACATAAACGAAGCCTGTGATCTGTGTTAGGGTACTGTCTTGTACCGAAAAAGTGTACATTATATTATATTAGGTATATACTGNACATTTATTTAGATTATAATATAATCAAATAAATTTTTACAAATCATGGATAGCTACAAAATATTATTTTTTCTAAGGGTTGTTGGTTGCTCACAAATAATAATTACTTTCTTCTGATTTTGGAAAAGTGTTTAAATCATTTTGATATTTACAATCAGTTTATAATTTACTAACTTTGCTTACGTTGAATCGATTATATTGCAATCCCAAATTTGACCCCCTTACGGGTGGTATTTTGAAAATTCATTTTGTAGTATCGTTGGATAAAGAACCTTGTGCAAAATTCCAAGCATCCTAATTCAACGGTTTAGACTGCGCCTTGATCAAGACATTAAACTTTGACCCTTATTTTTTAGCGATTGACTTTTTTTTGCGGAAATTTTCAAGTCTTTAAATCTAAAGGTTTAAACTGTCCGTTAATATATCAGTCAGTCAGCTAATCCTTTTATATTTATAAATTATACGTATTTGATTTAAAATCATGGCTATACAAGGGTTAAATATACCGTGAGTAGGGTTGCCACCCGTACTTTATTATGAAGTATTGTACTCTATTTCGACTGTGCGTACGTTATACTTTACAAGACACATAAAGTACGCAAAAATACTTTATTTAAGGCCTTAAGTAAACATCGCAATTTTGTAAGCGACTATTCTAAATTCAGAGTATTTTTACATCAACAATATTGCGCAGAAAAATGGCAAGCCATATTTACGGAACAATCTGATTTCCCAAATCTGTTCAAAGTAGTGTCACTTTTGCTGTCCGTTCCGGCCATTTCAGCATTTACAGAAAGAGTATTCTCTGTTATGAACGCAAAGTGGTGGGACGATAGGAATAAAGCTTCATTAAAACTAATTAAAAATGAACTTTTAGTTGACTTAAATCTTTGTTTGCCATGTTTAGACAGTAGCGGCCGTATAATCAGCCCCATAAATATGAGAACAGTCTATGACGACGGGTATTTCTTGACGCACCGAATGCTTGGTTACCAAATTCCTTACGTAATCCACCGACGGAAAGATCAGGCATCGATCAGGTGTCAACATCAAATACTCGATTCCATTGGAACTCTGAAAAAAACATTTTTTGTTTACCAAAACAAATATTACAGTAAATAAATTAAATCCATTGCGTATTTAAGACTCGTTGTGTTTATTAGTTGAATAATTATGATAATAATTGTTTCAACCCGTAGGACATCATTTTGCTTTGGAAAATATGAAATTCCTCCATATATCATCGTTCAAAATTGCCATCATTTTCAATCAGATCCACCCTGTTACGATGAATACTGATAAGCAGTTTTATGGAGGGAGTCAAAAAACAAGAGCATTGAACTAAAATAATTAATTAATTTCGTCGTTCGTTTGAAAATTTAAGAACTTTTTGATATATTTGTCCCTTAATATGTAAAATGTTTTTGAAATTGGACAATTCATGGTTATGATGATCGAAAAATGGAAGATTTTTCTCAATTTTAAGGTTTTGTGATTCCTTCTCGCAGAATCTTTCTCGTGTGGCGTATTCTCTTTGGGCTAGACCTAGTTTATCGATCATATTACAACCGTTTTTAAAAAATAATCTAATAGAGGATTACGGTACTAACCGTATTCTGAAAATCTTTTAAACAAAGCGTACCTAGTACCCCTGAAAAACTAAATTGCATTGTACCACATCGGGTTGATCAAAAGATAATACCGCTCTTTTGATGACTGCATACAATGACTCAATATTAGGTTCTCAATACTTCACTAGTGTATATGGAGTATAAAATTTCGCTGAATTAACTTTCTTCGCGATTCTAAAATAAGAAGATGAATTCGCGTTTTTTGTTTACAAATAATATTAAGTCATAGTCTCGTGATTCTTTAAATGGTAGGCGATCAAGTTCTTTCCTTGATAAATAATCGGCGGGAATCTAAATGATTCAAGTTTGCGACAAGTGACAACAACTCCTTTGCTGATCTTCTTGCTTTAATTGATTGAATCAAACGACAAGTTAATTGGAAATATTGTTTCGCGGTCACGGGATCCCTCATGTGACGAATTAATTGAGGAATAAATCGTAATTAAAGCATTCGATGTGGAGCAAGCACATGACTGTGAAACGAGATACCGGAACGACAAAAAAACGATACGTGTAATGAAACAGGTTTTCATATACAGATATTGTGGTAACAGTTGTGCGTATAAATAGTCAACTTTTATTAGTCATTAATTCCGACTTTCTACTCCCGTCATATGACTTAGCCACGGCATAGTACGCTGGATAATTGCAGATTTCATCTCAAATACTTACCACAAGTTTTTCGATAGTTATCTTGGGTCTCGCGGCGTAATACAGAATGAAGAGCAGATTCATGCCAATGCCTACCAAAATTCCAACCTCCAAAGCCAACACTAAACAAGCTACGAACGTTGCCAGCGCAAGGAAGAAATCACTTTCTGCAACAAAAGAAAAGCACACCCGTTAATCCCACTCGAATCCTACGAATTAAAATGTTCTTACTTTTGCATCTCCACATTGGTCTAACAACTTTAACTTCCACCATGAAGATGACTGCAGCTATGATAATAGCAGCTAAGCTGGCCTTTGGTATGTAGAAGAAATAAGGGGTGAAAAATAGAAGTGCCGCTATAACCAGGACGCCAGTGTAAAAACCGTTGAAGGGTGTCCTTGCGCCACTGCTGTTTAGAACAGCACTCCTGGACAAGGCACCAGTAATTGGAAATCCTTGGAAGAAAGATGTAGCCACATTCGAGACCCCAATTGAAAGAAGTTCCTGGGTTGCATCAATTGATTTACCATTTGCTGAAATTATTTTCGGTTGTTATTTCTTCTCGATGGATTGACTAATAAGAGATTAAGACATACCAAACGCTTTACAGATTGCAATATCTTCTAACAGTGCCAACAAAGGAACCAAAATTACCCCAGATCCTAATGTTGCTAACATGTCAAGAAAAGAAGTTGTAGTATTCCCGGAATTCATACTAAATGCAGGAACTTTTATTTCGGGTAGACCAGAAGGAATATCTCCTATAAGTTTGACAGGGACATCTTCGTAACTTGTGAACAGGAAGTACCCTATAAAACCACAGACCACTACAAGGATTGCATTCCTAGAAGTTGAAATTATCCATATGGTGGCGTTGGCAAATTTTTGGAATTTGTTCGGAGCGGAATCGGATGTTTCTTCCGGTCCAAACTTAATTTTCGTCATTAGCTAAAAATTATCCACAGTAAGTAACAACATTGTTAAATTGTGATAATCTAGAGTTGTTCCTTACTCTCATTAACAGTAGAACAATAATGGATGCGGCACCCAAAAAGGTGTCCCATCCAGATAAACCATGAATATTGGAAATAATACTTGTCCAAGTTTGGACGAATGTGGATCCACTAGCCTTAATTCCTAATAGGTCCTTTACTTGTGACGTCAAAATAATTAACGCTGCCGCTGATGTAAATCCTGACGAAACTGGTCCGGACACAAAGTCCACTAAAAATCCTAGAAAGAAAGTTCAACTGTTTATGCTACCTTCTTATAAATATTGTTTGTTCTAAAGTCACGACGGTTTTATGGAGAAACCGTTGCTGCGACCATTGATATTCGTGGATATGATGTTCAAGAACATTGAACTCTAATACACGAACACATTTTTCACGGTTGAGTTCACAATTTCTCTTGTTATTCATCACTCACCGATCACATATCGTTTGGCTAACATCGCCCACATTAAACAATTGCAAATAGCAACGACAAGACATATTTACCTAAACCGAAGAAACCCATAAGTAGTTCGATTATTCCTGACAAAAAGCTGAGGAGTATTGCATACTCTGGACTTCTCCCCTGTACAATTTGAAAGGTAAGTATGGAAGCTATAGCGGTGGGTCCCATTGGAACGTCTTTACATGTACCCAATACTATGTAAATAAAACAGCCTAGGAAGGAACTATAAAGCCCATACTGTAAAAGAAATATAACATTGATTTAGTTGCAATATTGATTAATCGTATTAATGACGAAAGGTAAAAAATTTGGAGATAAGGTGGAGCACAATATTTAAAAAAAAAACGTTTAGTCTAAAATTGACTCACTTCCGCAATAAAATTAACAAGGAAAGCAGTTAATTATAAAATACGCCAACTATAGCACGTTTAACACTTTATATTTATACACTCCCAAAGTATTAGCAGCACAAACAAATCTTAAATAAACTATCTGGTATCCGGATTTATCCAGAATTAATTACTCAGACCAGTAGTTTTCTTTTATCTGAATAAATGAAGGAAAAACACAGCTGACTAAATCTTTTGTCAATAAAAACAAAACAGGAGTACGTGTAGATGTTTTCATATCTTCAAATTAGTAAAAAATCAGAATAATCATCAACAAGTACCATAAATGGTACTTACTGAACGTAAGAGCCATGTAACTAGGGTTTGCAACCCGTACTTTATTATAAGGTATTGTACTCTATTTCGACTGTGCGTACTTTATACTTTACAAGACGCATAAAGTACGCAAAAATACTTTATTTAAGGCCTTCAGTAAACATCGTAATTTTGTAAGCGATTATTCGAAATTCAGAGTATTTTTACATCAATAATATTGCACAGAAAAATGGCAAGCCATATTTACGNATTAGATGTATGCTATCATTAACTTTTAATTATTTACTTGATTAAGCTTTGTTCAACTAATATGTATCTATATAGCTGAACTTCTTCAGTTGAGAAAAACTACTTTATTAGACAAACCTCCAACGTTTTATCCCCTGAAGGAAATCATCAGGGAAATTGTCAAGTTAAAAAACTATGTACAAAATCATCCTCGTATTATAGCAGTAATAAATAAATTTAAAAACGACAGCTTGATCTTGAAACTTCATTCAAATAATTTTAATATCTTCAAAACACAACATAATTTTAAAATCAATTGTAAAATAATTCATACAACATAAAAAAATTAAAAAAACAGTCACGTTGTACAGCGTTACATAGGTAATAAGCTAATTATCGAATTTTTCGAAACATAAAAACTCGTTTTTCCATTTCTATATCTCATTATTAATTTATTAAGTAACGCTATACGAAGTTACTGCTTTTTAAAATATTTTGTGCTATTTAATTAATTTTACAAATGGTACTATGGTTTTTTGACAAAGTTAAAATTGTTGGAAAGAATTTTGAAGAATAGTTACTAAGATTACGTTTTTTAATTTAATTATTACAGCCATAGAAGATGTTGATTTTCTACTTAATTATTTGACTGAACAAATAAATTTCTTGAAAAATTGAAAAAGCTTTCAATCAGAGGGTCTAATCTTAGAGCGTTGTCTAATGAATATCTAATAAATTTTTCAAATATTGATGGTATAAAATTATATGATTCTAAACGAATAACTTTGCTATTTATATTGGTTATTTTAAAATGTCCAAGAAATCCAGGGTGGACTGTATCCATTTGTGCGTCCATCAATTTGTAATATTTTAATCTTGAAAACGACAATTTATTTTTGACGACAAATTCTCTAGTTTTTATGTTCTTTTTAACTAATTTCCAACTTCATCATCATAAGGTCGTCAGTCCTAAAATTGACTTTCCTATCCTGAGCTTTGCATTTCCATAAAACTAGAACATCCCACGTCCTTAACTATTTACGAACAGTAATATAATCTAGGTCTACCTCTACTCTTCTTTCTGCCTCTAATAATATATGTCTCTGGTTAGGTCTTCATGCCTAAAAAGGTGTCCTACCAACCTATCTCGCATATTTCTTATTGACATCCATAGAGCTTTCTGTTCACCTATTCTTTCTAATACCTCTTCATCTTGAACCTTCTCTATCTACGGTATCCTCAGCATTCTCCTTATTAGATATTAGTTTACTATCCATTATTCTATAAATTTAAACTAAATATTTGAAAAGTAATATACAATATTGAATGTATGTTTGGCTTTGTCAGTAAATAATTTGTAAAAATTGTAAGAAAGTAAGGATTAATTTGTTTCTTTCGCAAATAATATTTTAATTAATTATGATTGCTTTTNTTAGTCGAGAAATACTTTATGTAAGGCCTGAAAAGGTGGCAACCCTAACCGTGAGCCCCAATTATGATATATATGTATATATATAATTGAAACATGTTGAATTTGAATATTCACTAGAAAGCATTAATTTTATCGACGAATGTTCATATACTTATGAAGCATGTTGGAATCTACAGGAATCGAATTTTCATACAACAAAATCCATCAAGAATTAGCCAATTAGCCTAATCAATATTGGTCAACTTTACCGCCACTTGGCCATCTCCATTAACGTGATTTTTTTCTTCGGGAGGTGGCTCGGTTCAATTTTATATGTGTATGATTAGTAAAAAGAGCTTGACGGTTTATTGGGGGTTATTGTAAGTTTGGTTCCGTGAAGTTACGTATGACATTTTCATGAACGTGGAGGTTAGAATAAAGGAGGATAGATGACCTTAAAAAAATCGGTTGTCTGTAAAGTCGGTTTACTGACGATAATTGAACGTGACAACGTCATAAGAAAATACTGATGGAATGGTTTCATTTTTCAAAAGAAAATTTTAATTTTATTTGTTTGATAGATATTTTGTATGGATATAGAGAAGGAGGTAAATGGAAATGTATTATTGT